TGATTCAACCACTCAACCACTAGATGTCACTGAAAACAACAAATCCTACACACTGTGCCTTTAAAGTAGACTTTGTGTCATAAATTTACTTTTGATACTTAAGTACAAAAAATATCAGATACTTTAAGACTTTTACTCAAGTAATATTTTTTAGAGAAGACTTTAACTTTTACCAAAGTATTTTTATGATAAGATTCTTGTACTTTTACTCAAGTATCACTTTGAGGTACTTTTTTACAACACTGTAAAAAGTACGCTGAAAGATAATTATTCAAGTAAAGTACAGATAACCAAAATTTCCACTTAAGTACAGAAACAAAGTATTTGTACTTAGTTACTGTACACCTGTGTTAATTAGATGGGTCTGTTCACCACGGATGAAGCAGACGCCTGACTTCAGCCTGTGGGGGAGGCAGTGAGAAGCGGTCCCTCCCTCCCTCCCTCCCTCCCTGCAGCAGACCGTGTGAGTGAACCAGGCTCCAGCACTTCCTATAAACATGTGTTGTAGAAGCAGAGGTGTGCAGGAGGACAGAGCAGCATGCTTTCAGACCGGCTGCCACTGAGCATCTGTGCCTTTAAAGCCGTGTGACTGCGCCTCTGTCAAAGCCCCGCAGCCAACTTCCCACAACTGAGCCCAGCGCGGAGCGGATCTGCCCGACGGACGCACCGAGGCTTTCATTCCCATCAGACCCATGGAATAGGCTAACTATGGAATACCTCTGGATACTGCTGATTGGGTTGTTACAGCTAAACATCCAGCCAGGTAAGACTGGTGTTTTCAGCTTTATGCGCCTGTTTTTCAGCTGTTTTTTGGAGGGCACGCAACTTGTTGCTGTTTACTTTCTGAAACGGGAGTGCGCGTGTTTTAATAAMAGGATTCAGCACCTGCTTGTCCAATAAGGGAAGCTCTCTGATGGCACGGATACCTTTTTTTTTTTTAATTTTTTGTTCTAGGAACCTTATCAGTCCGATTGGATAAATAAAGAGAAGCTGTCGAGTCGCAGAAACCCAATGAGGGAAGTAGATACTCCTGCTGCTTTCTTTACATGCGAGAGGTGTAAATAATTTAGGTTTTCATCAGGAAACAGCCACACCGGGGAGGATTAATCAGGGCATCATGGAAATAATATTTGTGAGATGCAAATATTTATTCCCGTTGAATGTGTTGCTTTGTAGAGACGACAGGTTCAGCCGCACCTAACTGTCTGRATGCAGAAATGTGGGCTCCTGATTCCCGGGTATACTGGCTATGCAAATAAGACCTGCTCCTGGCTCTTTGAAAGGCTTGTTTGTTGCTTTACATTGGAACTGGTCTCGTGCACAAGAGCAGCTAAAAAAATAAAATAAAATAAAAAAAAAAACAACCTCCATCCTCACGCTTCACTTGTGACGAGCTCTTGTTTTGTGTATTAAAGCTTCATCCATGGCTAAAAAAACCAGATCCATCAATTAAAATCATTGTTATTTTTCATGTGCTGAGTTTTAGAGGTGCGGGAAGTGCGTAGGGGAATTTATTTTATTATAGGCTATATATTTTTATCTGTTCGGGGA